CAGTTAACAACTGGTATTGTTAAATGAAAATAAGACACAAAGTTGTAACGTGCATTCTCCCTGACAGCCTGGTCCCAGAGCTGTGTCATTCCCTAATGAACATGCAGGACGCTATATTAATTTTGAAGCTTTTGGCCGTTTGCTACGGTTTCCTTATGGCTAACTCTGACTTAATTATTAACCCATAATTACTAATATATATATATATGTATACGTTTTTAAATTTTTTTTAATTTTTAAGTTTAAATTTAGATTAGAAACATGGTTGGTTCACAAGTCAGTTCCAGGTCCCTCTCCCTTTCCCTCCCCTCCCCCCGTGCCCTCCCCCCAACTCCCCCATTATCCCCCCATTTCCCCAGGAAGGGTGAGGACCTCCATGGGGGTGTCCATAGTCTGTCATATATTTTTATAAAGTCTTATCTTACCAAGGATGCCAGCCTCATGTGTCCTCTCTTCCAAAGATCGCATGGCGACTCCTCTCTTGACTGCATTTCCCAGAATCCTCCTCAACTCCTAGTCACACCTAACTTCTTCCCTATTGGCCAACAGTGCTTTATCAACCAATTAGACAAATGTATACACAGAAAGACTTCCCCCATCATAAAGGCATTGATTTAAGAGTAATATAACTTTCTGATTGAAAATTAAGGATAAGAGCTGTTATGTTACAAATTTTCTGACTTTGATAAAATAATCAGAAAGTTACCCAAGAATCATTACTGTCCACCATTAAATGTGCTGTGGTGTATTTTTTAGACACATAACTAAGAATGAATTCTATAACAGAGATCAGAAATATGGTGTACAGTGTGTCAGTATTTCTACATGTTACTGTATTATTCTGGTCTTTTTAAATTTGCCTTTTCATTGGTACATAAGTGTTTGCTTTATGCAATATTCCCAGTCCTGCCTAAATCTACTTTTTTTGATTTGACCACCAAAAATATTTTTAAAAACAAAATTCATTCTTATTCCCTTAGGAATCTCTTGGGTTAATTTCCCACCATTCTTGGCAATGGTTCCAATGGGCTTGTAATTGTAACTAACTGCCTTTGTTAGAAAATGTAACTAAACAAAGTACATTTGAATGGAAGCTATTTTCTTATGTCATCAAGTACTTCCACTAAATGTGTTTGTTTTACTTACAGCACACTTCCTAGCCATTTCTTCAACTTTAACTTCATATGCAGATGGGAATCTTTACTTCAGCAAGCAACATTCCATAGTAAAATGACTCTTAGAGAAGTCTCAAATTAGGACTGTGCCTACTGCAGGTTGAAGGTGACCACCTGTCATTGAGCCTTTTCCTAGCATTGTTTTAATGCCCTGGTTTCTGTTTGAACACTGAGTTTACTTCCAATTTTGGGCCATATTGTCCTTTAATATTTTTAATTTTCTAGAGAAATGCTTGATGTACAATCTTATCAAATCCTAGTCTGAGTAAGATTCTATTCAAACCCTTTCAAAATGGAATAGACTTAAAAATGTGAAGATTTCCAGATGCTTATGTCTCATAATAGTCCAGCGATATGACATTTGCATATATGTTCTCCTGAGAATATGGTCCAAACTTTACGATAAGTAAGTGATTGATAATTTCTTCTTAGAAGAGTTTCCTTGTTCAGGCTTACCTTTAACAAATTTTAGACCCAACCCAGGGACATTTGAACAACCTTTTTTCCACCTCAGCCCCTTCTATATGTAGCAAGGAAATACCATTCCCTTTGATGCAGGAGAAACTTGATCATATAAAGCATTTACTAATAAACTTGCCTTGGAAATAATGAATGATAAAAATTATAATTGAGCTAAGAAGCACTGCTTTCAGTATGACTAGAAAATAAATAGCGTGCTAACCAGGCTTGTTAGAAACTAAGAAAACAATTTGTACCACAAAAAGTATAGGGTTGTTGAGAATGTTTCTGTTGATGTTTATTCACCAAGATGGACCTGCAATTGGGCTCCATTCCTGGGTAGGATGACCCTGGGTAACAACCATTAAAAAATAATAACTCTGATATACTTAATAAATATTTCTAACAATCTACTTGCTGCATAAATTCTCCATTCACTTTCATGAACAGATTTTTATCTTGCTTCTCTTTCAATGTTTGAAATGTAACTTGAGAATTGGACCCAGAAGATTTAAGAATGACAGTATATGTGGAATATATAAGCCAAAGGTGTATGTATTTAAGTTAGTAAAGTCTATTTGAGGTCAGCTCCATGTTGGGTATTAGCCAGAGCCAGAACATGCTATATTAAAAAGCTTTTACCTTTATTAATCTCTAAGTGTGAAGAGTAATATAAAGCATATTATTTCTATAGCACATTCATCCCACAGAGAATTCAGGATTCTCAGGTTTTAAGTGTTCATGAATTGGCAAGGCACAATGTCTCCCCAAGTTCCCTATTTCTATTACATTAGATTACCACACTGCCCAAAACTTCTGGATCAATAGATATTTGAGACTCCAAATTTCTTATTGTCATAAAAATGAACTGTAATTCACATTCACAATCATTATCGATATGGTATCATTGAAAGCAAGGCATATGTGTTTTATTTTACATGGGCAATTCAGCAGCTATTCTTTGAAACACATTATTGGCCTACAGAGAAGTTTCCAAAGAATCTTAGGCCTTTTTAGCTAAGTTCTTTTAGCAGCTGGAATGGAATATTGCTAGTCTTATTCAATGATTATTTACCCTTTTATATAATTAAGATCCAATGAGGCTGAAGATACTTTAAATTCTTTGACTAAATCACTATTTGTGGCTCTGTGCTAGTTCACATCTTAATCTACTGGCTTCCTTGATGAGGTGGTGTAAAGTTTGGACAAAATGTATTCAAAATGCCTGATTCATGTCACATCTTGACTAGAATTTTATTTTATAATTATAACACAAAAATTCATATTAAAGATATATGTCAGCCATTTGATTATCTAATACATAGTCTACTAATATTTGTGTAGTTACCATTATACTGGGATAGTCATATATGTTGTTTCTAAAAGGATGCAAGTGGCTGACTAAAAAAACAAACAAATCCACAGATTTTTAAGTATATTTGCTTAATTCACACAACTAATGTGAATATTAGGCTTCATGCAATGGAAGTTAATAGCCTAATTACACTTTTAATCAAGTAGTCAACATTAAATTAAACCTCTACAGCATGATAACCCCATGACAGCAGGAGTCAACTCAAAGTTGATCATCAGAGGATCATTCAGTTACTTAGTGGGAACCAAGCAACTCAGATAACTGTACTGCTACAGGGGAAAAGACTGGGCAACCATCAGAATAAAGAATCAAATAGGAAACGGATTGAACATACATGCAGTATGTATGCATATACACGAAATAAACCTGACGAATGGAGGTTGGGAAATCAGGCATGCTCAGCAAAGCCAACAAGCTTGGGAAGAGGCTATGAAGGCACAATGAGTAATTTACTGTGCAGCTGCAATAAAATGCAATTGTATGAATTTAAAAAGGAGAACAGTAGCAAATAGGTTCAAGACAGTACCATGGATCAATGGTAGAGTGCTTGCCTAGCATAATCATAGCTGGAGGCTCGAGATCCAGTACCATAAAATGTTGAAATGAAATAAAAGGCAACCAGAACAGTAGTATGATGAAAGAAAGTTTTTGTCTTCAAGAATCAATTGTTCATTTTTATTTGCTCATTTATTTAAGCTATAACCTATTCCAAAAACTTTCCACCTATATCTTACAATCCACAGTAATGCAATCAATAAAGAGGAATAGGTGAAGTAAATGTAGTGAGGGCAAGAAATAAAAAAGTTAAGACAGTGGTTTATTCAAGAAAACAGCAGGCATGCCACACAATCCTATTTAGGTTCCCAACCTCCAAAGGAAACAGAAAATGGTAATCTTTCTAAAGATTTCCAGGGGCAACAAGAAACAGACTCCAGCTGCTTCAAAAATGCATATGGACTGAGACATTAGTGAAATTTATCTTATGTTTTTAATCTAGAGAACAGACTGCTTGATAAAGGAGATAGCATAACCAATGTCAATTCTACAATAAATATGATATAAAATTATGAGTGATGATGATATAATTTCTTTGGTTGAGTCCAAATCATAAATTTATGAGCATTTCAGAAAGCGCAATTATGCAAATGATCCAGATAGCCACTCCCAGAGGGTCTGGCTTATCCATGAGCAAAATTTAACCAGTCCAGAGAAATAATAGCCTTTCTGTCATTCTCAATGAACACCATTTTAACAACAAATGAATCATACATGAGGAAGATTTTCATGACAAAGTCACTACATACCAGAAGATATTCTGCCAAATATTTTCCATCTATGAATTGCTGCCAATTAATACACTTTCAAAGCTAGGCCATTCCTGGTTAAATACCCTCTGCTTACCTTATTTCCTGCTGCTTCCTGTTTTCTTCTCTGGAGAGAGTTACTTTGTTTTATAAATTGTGCAAGAATATTATTCTTAGGTATGGTTCCCCAGGTGCTTGTTAAAAGCAGATTTTGTTTATAAGGTAATTCTGAAAATGCTATAAACTTGGAGAGATTACAAGTGTGCCTTATTCTATTAACTCACTCAGATAAATATCTGCATTCAAAATCCCAATGCTCCAAGTTCCCAGTAATTTTACTTTCTTTTGTTGTAGGGGAAAAGAGACTGGAGACTTAAAGAAGCTGTTTTGACTTTTCTTTATGGTGCTGGGAACCCAACTTTGGGCCTCACATACATTAGGCAAGTTCTACACCACTTCTTTTTATGCCCTGCTGTATTTTGTCATAGAGAATCATTCATGAGCTGAGAAACTGTAAAGTACTTTGGACAAAATGAATATTGCACCATGAAATCCACAAAAGCTTAAAAACCTTGAACTAGGGATTATCTGCCTCTTGTTTATTATAGGAGTCAGTACAACGAGCCTGAAGTTCCTGCTGTTTCTGCAGACAGGAGACAGGTGATGTTAGTGGTAATAAAAGTTTACCTGAGATCCGCAGCTTTCCGGGTCTTGTTCGTACACATCACATCCCTGGTCTGATACCCAATCTGGATATCCCAGTATCTGTTCTCCTGTCTGTTTTGTCTGTTTCTGTTTCTCTTCTTCTTGATGAGTTCACGGGCCTCTGGGTCCTTCACCGCTTTGCCTCTGTCCCTCTCCCGCTCTTTGTTCTTGCCACGACGCCTGGCTTGCCTGGCTTGCCGTGAGTGTGGCACTGAGCATGCACTCCAGGGCCCCACCTGCAAGCTGTACATGCTCTCCTCTGCCTCGCAGGGGTTGGACTGGCACACTTGGAACTCGGTAAGGTTGGGACAGCCAGAGCCTCCAAACTGTGGCGGTGCAACCACGTGCCTAGTGCGGTGCTGCAGACCACTGCCACAGGTCCTAGAGCACTCAGACCAGGCCGAGAACTCAGACACGATGCAGTCTTGTTGGCATGGAATGAGGCAGGCCTGTTCCAGAAGGGGCTTGGGCTCAAAGTACTCGCAGATGATGTCCTCTGCGAGAATGTCCTTATCTTTCTGGATGCAGGTTATCTCTCTCACCTGGATGCCTTCCTCTCCTTTCACACATTCTCGAGCTTTCTCCAGGCTTTTGGAATTCACAGGCTGACACTGATTCCAGGGTCCCAGCCTCCAGTCGTACAACTCTTTGTGCCAGTCACACACTTTGAAACAGTTTTGCTGGTTACTGGGCCTCCCGGCCTGCTTGCAGTTCGTATGCAGTGTCGTCCAACCTTCCACGTGAGCACACCACACAGCCCGGGTCTGGATGCCGCCTGGTCCGCAGTCATCTCCCATGCACCGTCCCCAGGGACCTACAAATCAGTGCAAGACTCAGTCAGCCGCGCTTCGCGAAGAAAGTGACATGCTATTCCCACTTCAGAAAGACGTCTCTAGACTTGGTACATTAACTTCCCCGACATCTTATAAAGTAGGTCTCTATGACACAACTAGCAGGCAAGTAATGATTGTCCCTGGGTACTTGTACAAGACGGAATGGTGTCAAGGTGTCTATATAAGGTAACAGCTGGGGCAATTGCACTTCGGGTCCTTTTGGGATTACTAAAAGTTTGCTTTGATTCATTTCCTTTATTTCAGGTAGATAGAAATCGTTGCTCATAAAGGGCATAAGAAACTAGTCACAGAGAAAACCGTTATTCTTGCCTCACATTCTGAATTCTCTTTAGTAACTGGTAAAGAAAATAGCCTCTCCTGAAAGCCTTCTCCTGCAGGCTTTCTTTGCCTGGGCAATTAACTATTTTCCAGAAAATGATCTCCCTCCCTCACTTGCTTTTTTTATTGTTGCGGGCTGTGACTGCAGAGGGCTAATGGCTGGGTACAGTGTTGCTGACAGAATGTAAAGTGGGCCTTTATGGAAACTAAAGCTGAGAAATCAAAAATCTTTTTTCAAAGGTATTTGCTGCCTTTTAATAAATAAACCTCAATGAATGATAGAGCTGAGTAAATAAATTTAATTTCAGCTAAGACAAACAAAACTTTCACAGTTGTCCGACAATACTTTCGATGCTTTCTTACAGATTTGCGAAATATTCTCTGTGATAATCATAAAACTCAAGACGCATCTCAAAAAGGAAACTTTGTAGCATGTATAAAACTTCAGAATTAATTCCATAGAGTTTTAGTTTCCTCTATCCATTATGTTTGAATAAAACTGTTAGCCCATTTAACACTGTGAACACACCAGAGAAAGGCTAAATGCTGCTCAGTCAGTATGTTAAAACATAGGTGCTAAATCAGAATCCAAATCCAAAAGTGACCCAAGATAATTTCTTGATGTCTTTTTATTTTCCATTTTTAACATTGATTATGAGATTACATCAATTAAACAATGGTTAGTATTTTATTCCTGGAATAAATTCAAGAGAAGAATTTTATAGAAATGCTATGGTGGCTCACTTTTAATCCCAGCCCTTGGGAAGCAGAGGCAGGCAGATTTCTGTGAGTTTGAGGCCAGCCTGGTATACTAAGTGAGTTCCAAGACAGTCTCCAAAGCTACAGAGAAACCTTGTCTTGAAAAACCAATCAATCAAACAAACAAAACAGAAAAATTGTTCATGGTATTGACCGACCATATTCTAAAGACTGGTTAGGAGATTTTGCATGCCTCTTATGAAGGGGCATGAATAAAATCTATTTAGATAGGGCAGCAATGACAGGCCACAGAAATGGTTCCACCCACGCCTCATTTGGTGAACCAGTGAGTTCATTGGGGTTACAAATGGAGCATAGGTGGATGACTCACCAACATCACTTCAAAGTCCACCCAGCTTCTCTGCCCAACTGGTAGCCTGTTCCATAGGAGAGAGTTTCCTCTTGCTAGCAGTTGTTTATAGCTTACATAAGATTGGGCAGGAGCTGTGTTCCTTGAGTAGAATAATAGTAGTCAGTTTTCTCCAAAGCCCATGACCCATATAGTCTCAGGTTCTTGGCCACTTTACCAATGTCAGGTATTTGTTCCCAAGGAATGGGCCTTAAATACAATTAGGAAGTGGTTGACTATTTCAGTACTATTAGTATGCTAAAGGAAAATAACAACAAAATGAGTCCTAATGATATACTGCTATGCATGTAGATCAGTGCATCACTCTGCCCTCATTAGGGAAGTTTCTTTTTGCATGGATAACCCATAACTGGACAACTGGAGGAAAGGGAGACAGTTTGAGCATTCATTCCTAAATGGGAGTCTTCATCAAAGCTCTCTCCTAAAGGCTCAGGAGTCTATGTGGAAGAGAAATAGAAAGACTATAACAGCGAGAAGGGATGGGTGACTCCAAAGGAACAGCGTCTTCCAGATGCAACAGGACTGATGTGCATCTGAGCTCAGCGTCTGTGGCTGCAAACATAAATCCTGTACAGTTTCAAACCAGATGAGGTCCAAGCACAGAGGAAGTAAATATAGGCTGTCACCCATAAAAAGCTATCTGCAATTGATACCCAATGGCAAAGTCAAAATCAGTTTTTCACTAATAGAGTCTCACTGGGTATGTACATCACACTTCAGGTTAGGACCCATGCTTTGTGGTATTTGACAAATACAAAATGACCTAAATGGTATTGTATGTTTTTTATCGTACTTTGTTTTGTTTGGTCATTTTTGTCTTTCAGGATTTTGCTTATTTATTTTGAGCTGTGTTTTTGTGGAGACTTTGTGTTTGTGTTTCTTAGTTTTGTTGTTTTGTTTTTGTGTTTGTCCGTCTGTGCTGGTGGGGAGAATGTAAAGTTGGGCGGGTAGGTTGGGAGGGTGTGGGAAGAATTTGGGGATGGAAAACATTATCAAAGTATATTATATGAATTATTTTCAATAAAAGGAAAACTTTAAAAAAGATGGGTAAGGATCCTGTGAGTATTATAACTTTCTGAGCTTTTAGATTGTGTTTCATTTCTTTTGTGAATTGTATGTTTTTCCCTCTGTCACCCAGGAGTGAATGTTTCATAAAAAATATCTTCATAACAGTCAATGACAATAATCACTTGAATAACTGACTTAAAAATTTCTATTTGATGCTTGATGCATAGAAACATTTGACATCAGTTAGTATAAATACAGCTTAGTAGAAAAATAAGAACATTTTTACTTTGATAGTGTTCTCAAACTTTCAACTTTTTGAATTTTAAAAAATTTTACATTGTACATATTCATTGTATGTGGTCCCATGATACATAAGGACACTCATGTAAGTATATACTGTATATTTTGGATGTATTGAATACCATTCATAATTGTGGGCCATCTTGCACATATATTTGATTATATTTACATGTATATAAAATTTGCACTGCGTCTAATTTAATGGAATAACTCATTACATTCTATGGTTTGTATCTTTTATTTTCCTGTTACTTTTGAGAGAATACCCTCAGTTATTTTCTCTTAAAGAGAGGAGTTCGTTGACAGATATTAATATTGAAGACACTTCATGGTTGATGCCTGTTGCAGCAGATAAAGAGATGGAGCACAAAAGAACTTCTACATGATTTTGCATCAACAGATAAATAATACTCTCACAAGATACATCAGTCATTAGACAAAAGGTCATGTTACAAATGCAACTACAGCTTACTTCCAGTTCTAATAATATGAGAACAGATTCTTACTGACTCCTCACAGACAACATGTTCAGTTTCACATATACTCACTCCAAGAACTAGATGACAGCTTCCCACAAAAAATGCAATAGAGATCTATAAGGATACATTTAAAGAAAAAAACATGAATGAGGATAACTGCAAAAGCAGAGAAGCAATACAATCGCTATTGAAGAACTCATGAACCTCGAAGGCTCTAACTGCTATCTTATCATTTCATTGCACCTTGCGTATTGCATGTGTGTCCAATTAAGTACTCTCATGGAAGATCAGTTTTCAGCCCAGTATACCAAGTGAATGGCTGTCAATTTATGCCCTCCAAACAGACTTGAAATTATCACACACTGACTAGAATGAAGACCATATCTAATATTGCTCTTGAAAAGCAAGCATAGTTAACCCAATTAGCTACTCTGTTTGTAAGAGTACACATGGCTTAAGATACAGCTTGAAAACACTGCATGCAAATTCTGTTAAGGGAAACAAAAAGGCCACTGCCAAGCATGATCTGAGAAAGTGGCATGTGTCATTCACTGTCTCTGTGTGAATGTTAAGATTCAGCCCCACAGCTTGCATTGCCATGAGTGAGAAGAGGTAAAAAGGGGATGGAGTTTGTGTGTAATTTCTAACAAGATCAGTAAGAATTATCTTTGGTTTGAAACTGCTTCATTTATTCTTGTTCATGAAAATGTAGGGGAAGTTGGAATCTAATATGGCAAGAGAATAATAAACAGCTTTCTCCTTTAGGGCTTGGATACTACCACTTTATGAATAGAAATGTATTCGTGTGTACAGATTTGTAGGTCTGTGTTTATTCGCTATTGCAAGAAATCTGTCTAGTATTTAGGTCAATAAATATGTGAAAAAACAGTGAGTTTGACAGATTTTATGCAAATCTGGAGAGAAATATTGGTTGCCTTATTCTACCAGAAATAAATTAAAACATTTTATGCCCAAAACATTTATGTCATTAATTCTTACAAAACAAATATTTTCAAATAAAATGCTTATAAAATTAAATGACTCAGACAAAAAACATTAAGTGAATGTTTCTTGGCTTAGTTTCCATGCAGCTAATACTTAAATACAAATCTATACAAAGTTTGAAAATACTGTGGCTAAAACAATAGAATATATTTATTAAGGAGAATTTTATAATGCACGTATTTCTTCATGTAATTCAAAATTCTCTCTTTAGTTGACAAAAGATGAACTTTCAAATTAAAAATTAATGGTTTTCTTACCAAGTTCAACACTCGTTTTTCTTAAGAATCTTGACTTTATATGTCAAGGGCATGAGAACAATAGAAGGTTGAGTCTATAAAAGGCCAGATTATTGACAGGTGGCCAGAAACTGTTTCAACAACCTTATGAAGAATAAACACTATTAAAGGAACATGAGAAAATTATGCAAACTACCTTCCATCCTTATTTGCTATAAAACTCTTAAATGAGCCAGGTTCTTGTTTGGCTAAATACATCTGCATCTTTCCCTGAGACAATATGTTTCCCCTCCTGAAATTGGTACTACAATAGCATGTATGGCTTACCACAAGGTCATAAGCATTTGCAGATTTTTGTTAGAGACTGATTCCCATGTCCCATTTACTATAAAGTATTATGTTTAAAAATACATAGATAAAAATGTATCCATTTGCTTGTACTAAAGCAAAGTGTGTAAAAGTATTGGAAATTGCTATTAAATGGT